TTAAGAGACTTTGAGCATGGCATAGTTGTTGCTGCCAGACGGGCTGCTCTGAGTATTTCAGAAACTGCTGATCTACTGGGATTTTCAGGCACAGCCATCTCTAGGGTTTACAGGGAATGCTCCGACAAAGAGGAAATATCCAGTGAGCGGCAGTTCTGTGAGCGCAAATGCCTTGTTGCTGATGAGGCCAGAGGTCAGAGGAGAATGGCCAGACTGGATTGTGACCCCTGGGGTAATTACATTATATTAAAGACACAGCAATAGCGTCAGATGCAGCAGATTGATTTTATAACACCAGGTTAAACTTTCTGACACATTTACAGCACTCACATACATAATAAAAATAAACAAATACTTGGGTCTATTGGTGTGTGTGCGCCAGTGCATGCAAGGTTTCTGTATGTATAACCACCTCAGAGGATATTGGGGGCCGCGAGTCACTGTCATTGTTATTTTGGGGGTCGCGGGCTGAAAAGTTTGGGAACCCCTGCTGTAGACTATCAAAAATATATATATAGCTTAAAGGGGCTAATAATTTTGTGCTTAAAATGTTGTTTAAAAAATTTAAAAACTGCTTTTATTTTAGCCGAAATAAAACAAATAAGACTTTCCTCAGAAGAAAAAATATTATAGGAAATACTGTGAAAAATTCATTGCTCTGTTAAACATCGTTTGGATAATATTTAAAAAAGAAATTCAAAGGGGTCGAATAATTCTGACTTCAACTGTATGTGGATGATGAAGGTTCCTCACAGATCCATCGAAACCAATACTACTATTTGAGTAACAGTTTAACAAAGCAGGAGTGTGAATCTAGATTACACTGTAAAAAATATCCATAAATGAGCAGTTTTCTGTATTTTGTGATGTGTGTTTTTATTTATTTCCAATTTATTTCTGCTTTTGAACTGCATTCTGGGATCTTGAGCTTTCTTCACGACGTTTAACCTTGAAAAGTGAAAGAAAGTTGATTTTAAGTGTCAGATTTAATAGTGTGCAGGGCTCTATTGTCTAGGTTGGTGTTGTATATTACGCTACAAACCCCTTGTAATAAACTGCCAGCACATTTTCTGCTATTTTATAGACTTTATATTATATCTTACACATTATATTATTACTTTAAGCCACTAAAATATCAATAAAAGTCACTCTGTTAAACTGTAGAGTTAAATTTTCAACATCAGAAGTGGACAGAGCAGAGATCAACATCCCATAATGCAACTCACCACCGCAAATACACCCAAAATACAGAAAGCGTTGATGAAGAGATATGTTTTACAGTGTTTGCGTGATGTAAATGGCGATTTCTGCAGTGCGGATTCTGTCTTTTCCCTCTCTTTGTCTCAGTGCTGCATGATCAATACCAGTGCGGAAGGAGATCTGGGACCTGTCTGTCAGAAACCAACATGAAATAAAGAAAATAAATAAAGAAAAAAATAAGCCCTGTAGATCAAGTCAATAATAATGAGAGACGCAGAGAGACAAATGAAGTGTGTTGTTTTGTCGGCAGCAGAGAAATACATCAAGATAATGGCAGCGGATAAGACGCCGCTGAAGGCTTTAAATTATATATACTTGATGCACCTTCTCAATCTGTCCTGAAACAAGAACACCCAGTGTTTGATAACAGCTGGCCCATTCAGAATGACTGACTGCCATTTACACTCACCGGCCACTTTATTAGGTACACCTGTCCAACTGCTTGTTAATGCAAATTTCTAATCAGCCAATCACATGGCAGCAGCTCACTGCATTTAGGCGTGTAGACATGGTCAAGACGATCTGCTGCAGTTCAAACCGAGCATCAGAATGGGGAAGAAAGGGGATTTAAGAGACTTTGAGCATGGCATAGTTGTTGCTGCCAGACGGGCTGCTCTGAGTATTTCAGAAACTGCTGATCTACTGGGATTTTCAGGCACAGCCATCTCTAGGGTTTACAGGGAATGCTCCGACAAAGAGGAAATATCCAGTGAGCGGCAGTTCTGTGAGCGCAAATGCCTTGTTGCTGAGGCCAGAGGTCAGAGGAGAATGGCCAGACTGGTTCCAGCTGATAGAAAGGCGACAGTAACTCAAATAAGCACTCGCTACAACCGAGCTCTGCAGAAGAGCATCTCTGAACACACAACACGTGCGTTTGTTTGTGTGTATGTGCTTGTGTTTGTGTGTGTACGCATGCGTGTGTATGTGTGTGTGTGCTGGGTGACAATGTGTGTGTATGTGCGTGTGTGTTTGTACGTGTTTTTGTACGTGTTTTTGTGTGTGTGAGTGTGTGTATGTGTGTGTGTGTGTATGTGTGTGTTTGTGTTTGTTTGTGTGTATGGCGTGTGTGTTTGTATGTGTGTATGTGTGTGTGTGTGTGTTTGTTTGTGTGTATGTGTGTGTTTGTTTGTGTGTATGGCGTGTGTGTTTGTATGTGTGTGTGTATGTGTGTGTTTGTTTGTGTGTATGGCGTGTGTGTTTGTGTGTGTGTGTGTGTGTGTGTGTGTGTGTGTGTGTGTGTGTGTGTGTGTGTGTGTGTGTGTTTGTACGTATTTTTGTATGCGTGTGTGTGTGTGCGTGTGTGTGTGTGTGTGTTTGTGTGTATGGCGTGTGTGTTTGTGTGTGTGTGTATGTGCGTGTGTGTTTGTACATATTTTTGTATGTGTGTGTGTGTGTGTTTGTGTGTATCACGTGTGTTTGTATGCGTTTCTGTTTGTGTGTGCATGCGTGTGTGCGAGGTGACAGTGTGTCTGTCTGTCTGTGTGTGCAAGCGTGTGTGTGTGCGTGTGTGGTGTGTGTGTGTGT